TTCTAAGAGCTTTTGGTGAGATCCAAAGAGCTCAAGGAATTCTAAGTCTCGTTTTCTTGAAGCACAAAATCGAATAGCAGATTCGTGTCCTAGCAGACAAGTTCCAAGCGTTGGAATCCATCCCGAAGTGTGGATACGTGTAGAGGGCGAGGTATTCTTCCTCCTTTCGTGATCAGACGTGTTCTTCGATTGATACATGCCCCGGATCGATTGAGGTAAGCGTTCTAACGTTTCTACGATTCATAGAAGCATGGTTCTAGGGTTTATTAAATTTTATTTTATATCTGCTGCGCAAAGCCTAGAATCGATCTCTTAGGAATAGGATTCGCTCTAGAGATCCCAGGAAACCCCAACAATCAATCTCCTAATACACTCGGTATATTCATGCTCTTTCGTGAGTAATGACATCTTATTTGATGGTAAGATGAAGCTAGAAGGTTTGGGTCGAAACTTCCAATAATATACCCCATATCTTGAAAACTTTACTATGTAATATTGTGGAATGAAATTACTGTTTGATATCGCCACCTTGCAATGTGAACCTTACTGATGACTTCTTTGTCTTATATCTCCTCGCATAATGTTTTTACAAAATTTGTATATGAGAGTATTTATATTATATTCTTGGGGATATCGCCATAAAATCCTGTACTTTTCCCAGGTCAACGAAAAAACCCTGTATTTTTTTGCTTACCAATTAAACCATATACTTGGTACGATTAACCAATAAAACCCCAAACTTGTTAATAATTCACCGAAAACCCCCCGCGTCTGCCAACTCAAATAAAAATGATGATGTGGCAATGACCTGGTTTCCAAATTATGTACACATCATCAAAATTATGACACATCATCATTTTACATAAAAATAAATAACATAATTTATTTAAATTAATTTATATACATATAAATTCACACACATATATATATTAAATATAAAATTACTTATAACTAATAAAACATATATATATATATATACACACATAACTACAATATACATATATATAGATATATATATTGTATAGTATAACTAATACATATACATATTACAACAAAAATAATTGTAACTAACACATACACATATAATGTATCTATTAAAAATAATATGTATATGTGTATATATTAGTTATACATGTAACATATATATATAACTAATATGTATATTAAAATAAAAGTAATTATAATTATAAATAATATATATATATACGTGTGTGTTTTATTAGTTATAAGTAATTTAATATTTAATATATATTTAATATATATATATATATATATGAATTTATATGTATATAAATTAATTTAAATAAATTATGTTATTTATTTTTATGTAAAATGATGATGTGTCATAATTTTGATGATGTGTACATAACTTGGAAGCCAAGTCATTGCCACATCATCATTTTTGTTTGAGTTGGCAGACGCGGGGGGTTTTCGGTGAATTATTAATAAGTTTGGGGTTTTATTGGTTAATCATACCAAATATAGGGTTTAATTGATAAGCAAAAAAGTACAGGATTTTTTTGTTGACCTAGAAAAAGTAAATGGTTTTTATGGCGATTTCCCCTATATTCTTCTACAGTTTCAACATATTACCAGATAAGATATTTTCCAGTCTTCTTAGATGCAGCAATTATAGATATAAATTATAATCTTTGTCTATTTTTGATTGATATAATTAAACGTTATTAAGACATATAAAAACAAAAATACAATTTAATTTTTATTATAACAAAAAAACAACACAAAAAAGGTTTTTCAATACAACAAAAAACAAAAAGATAAAGATTTAAGAAAATAACACACAAAACAAACAACAAAAATACAATTTTTTTTTTTCTTCCACCATTAAATAATGTGACCTAACAAGCAAGCAGACAAGCCCTTGCAAAAGAAACAACATGTGGTTTTGCCATTTCAATGTTCTAAGGCTTTAAGTATCTTATCCGACCAGAAGGGCCTTTAGAACTGCTTCACAATTCTGCTTCTCGAACATTAGAAAATGTCCGAAACCACTGACCTCGTGGTACTTTATCCATGGAAGCTTCTGCGATATAAACTTGTTTACCACTCGAGGAATTATTCTATCTTCGATTCCGTGCCAGATATGGATCGATCCTTCTCCGTTCGGAAATGGGTTTTCCAACTCCATCGGATCGAATTCCCATTCTCCATATCCAACTATTATGTCTCGGTGCAACGACTCATGGTCGCCCTGTTGCCTAATCTTTTCCTGGGGATCGAAATTAGATAGTCAGAAAAAATATGGGCCTGATATGCAAAAGAATAAAACAAAACACCCGGCAAAAAAGAAGCTAACCAGTGACCACAACGAACTTTTTTAATTTGACCCTTGAACTATTACTTATCTTCCAATTGTGCTCCTAAACTTTTTCACTATCATTTTGACCCCTGAGTAGTGAGTTCTAACATAACTCATACTCTCAGAAACTAAGTCAAAGAAGGCCAGGAAAAGAGATTTCGATCCATAGAAACATAAAGTTTTTAGCTTTTACCATGCCAGGAGGTGGATTAGCTATCCACTGCTTTATGATCTCCATATCGTGATGGCTGAAAATATCGGTATTACCCGTTAAGATACTCAAGGAAGGGAACCATTTCTGAGTCATCCACCAGTAGAACAGCCATGGAGCATAATGAGCAACCCTAAACGCCCACTGGTCCTGCAGCACAAGCCGCTTAAACCCTCCTCGTAATATGTTTCGAGGAACATGGTTCCACCAGTAGTTCACGAATGGAACCACCAACGAAGCTCCGGCTAGTCTGTGTACACGTAAAGTATCGGAAATGGGAAGGCGACGGGACGAGGTTATGAAATGGAGAAGAAGAGAAAGCATTGCCTGTGTGGAATGTATTTGAGGCAACTGTAAACTGGGTAAGCCCCGAGTGATATCCCGAGTATATAGAACTTCGATCCGATCTCTAACTTATCTGCTAGCTCTTCAATATCATGCGCTTCTGATTTCACAGAACGAGATGGGTATGGATCACTTTCTCCGTACCCAGCTCTGTCGAAAAATAGGAAATATATCTTGTGTTCTTCGATAAGTTCCTGAAGAAAGGAGGAAAAAAGAAAAACAAAAGTGGTCAATGTGAAGTCACAAAAGACAGTGAACAAGATCACGACATGTTAGAATGTTCCAGCGGCATTTTGCAGGTAAAACACTAACTTTCAGTTTGAAAGTAGATCAGAAACTACAAGACCGATACAGTTGCCTGTTCTTCGCCAACAAGAAGACATTGATCGTGTTCTGTTATTGCTATTTATAGAGTTACAACACAAGTTTAAACATTACATAAAAACAACAGTGATCTATTATTATCTATTTAGAGTAGCACCCTGACGTTCATATCGAAACAAGGGGTATTGAAAATATATACAAAGATATACACAGATATTAGACAAACATGAATAATTTTCGGTGACGTACCTTGGGGATGGGTAATTCAACGTCTTTGGAACTGTTGAAGCCATGAATGACGATGATCTTATGCATGGCCTCGTCTCTTGTGACACCGAATTCTCTGTAGGCTAAGTATCTGCCATCGCTGAGTTTGATTCTTGGACAAGTAACCGGAGGACCATCTCCTCCACCGCATATTCTTGCCGGCGGTGCCTTCAGTGACCGGTAAATGTAGCCTATCAGGCATGCAGTTGTTGCCACCATTACAGGAATCAACATGATGATACCCTGAAAAAGGAAATTGGTTATTAAAAAGAATCCTTTAAAATACCAGAAAATCTCATGAATTACAGAGAGATTGATCTTAATCGGATAAAAATCAGTTTTAACGGTTAAACCCATTTCAGGATTCAAGAATCTAAGTGGTAAAAAACCACCATCTACTGGAAAGATCTTGGAAATCAATCATGGGAATCCAAAAGTTCTGAAACTTGAAACAGATCAAAAAATGAAGTGAAAAATCCGAGGAGAGAGACAGAATCCACCTCGGAAAGTGAACAAGATCAGAGATTTCTGGGTTCTTGTTGGAATGATGCTTCAGCTGAGGCTAATGGTCATATTTATATAACCGGTTAAGACTCTACAGTCCTGATAACAGAGATAGAGAGCGGGAGAGAGAGCGTTGGATTCTACAGTCCTGAAACACAGAGCGAAGAGAGAGAGATACAACGTTGGATTCTACTGCCCTGACACAGAGAGAGAGAGAGAGAGAAAGAGAGAGATACAACGTTGGATTCTCGTCCACATGTTTCAGCTGAAAGGTAACAGTAACATGTCTCACACGTTGTCGGTAAGTATTTGGTCTCTTCTTTTGATCGGGGCATCAATAACCTTTTGTTCTTGTTTTTTTTACACGATTAAAACGTTTGATAATTGAGTCGGAAGAAATCTGATCCTTTACAAATAGAATGTTTCCATTGCTTTTTAAATGTTGTATTTTAATTATATAATATAGAGTTGGAAATTTATTGAGGAAATTGCCAAAAAAAAAAGTTAGACCGATTTTTGTTATTTAAATGAGTAGTTTTTCTAATAAAAAAAATCAAAAGTGAAACTAATTCTAACAAAATCTAAAGCAAACAGAAAATCAAACATATATAATTTTCACACAACATAAAAAAAATCAAACCGAAAATACTCGAATTAAAATATAAACGAAATCCTAGATATCAATTTAGCATTAGCTCGACCATAGTGCAATACTTATAATAAACTGATGATGGATTAAGTACCATAATTGACTCGTATTTTTGGATGCAGGTACGGATATGGAACATGACGTCTGACGACAAGGATGATAAAAAAATCGGTCTTGGCAGGTTGCAACCAATGGCTGTTGAGACAAACAGACGGTGGAAATTCAGAGAGACGAGAAATAGCCAAGCTTCTCATACAAGCGGTAACTTGTACCATTTGGCGGGAGAGAAACTGTCGGATCTTTAGACATGAATCATGTTCAATTGGTAAGTTAAGGATGGAGCTCGATAGGATGGTGAGAGACATTGTTATTTCAAAGGGATCTATTATGCCTTCAACTAGTAATACCCTCGAGGATTTCTGGTTGCATGTTACTGCATCTATTCGACATCATTTGAGGGGTTAAACTTGGTCTTGTTTCTTTTGTTTGAAAATTTCTTTTTGATGGAATCCGTATGGAGTTTGTTTTGGACAATATGTCTGAGTTGTAACAAAACTGTTGTTTTTGGCTCGATTAATACATTAACCGTTATTAAAAAAAAAAACGCTATATGGCCGGTTAGATTTGTTGAGAATATAACCAAACTTGACAAGCATACACTCAGACCAAACGGAATGTATGATGAACAAGGAAACACGTGCATAGGAACTCAGAAGAAATTGACGGACATGCATGAAGAAATACACTCGGACACGACTTGACACACTTAGGAACGTGCATGGGAAGTCATGGGACCAAAATATTGACATGATGGAATATTGAAAGACTTAGTTTGAAGTAGAAGCTCTCTTAATTAGTGGAAACACAATCAGCCACTATCCCACTAGAATGCAATCACGTGTTGGCATCTTTACCTTTTCCAACAGACATGTTTTCACTCACTCAACATGTGCTGGGAATATCACATTGTCATTTCGTGTAGCAATTAGCCGTTAGGGTTGGTCTCTAGTTGTGTATAAATTAATCATCCTACGTACAATACAATGTATCTTCGTTCTTCATTTTCTTGTGTCTTGCTCATATTTTTCATCAACCTTTGATCAATCTTTTGTTTATCAATCTGAGTTTTGACATGGTATCAGAGCGATAAGATCTTTACCCATTTTTTTCATGATTCCGCTGTAAAATAAATGACAATCATTCAAGAAAAATCATTCAACCTCTTAATCCATTCATTAAAGTCAAGAGCCTTTTTTTTTCTTTGTTTCCTCTTATTTCTTAGTTTTAATCCTCCATGGATCACTACCAGTTTCTAATGGAGATTAAGGATGAGGTTTGGGAAGTATACACTACCATTCGACGCCTTTACAACATTCAAACCGAAAGAGGTGGGATGATTGAAGAAAAAATCCGAGAAGCAAAGGTTTGTTGGAGCAATTTACATAGGCTCATACATGCCTCATCGGATGAAGAAAGAAGCGTACAAAAATTGGTATTATGTATCCTTTCTCTATTAAATACATCATATGATGATCTAATCCTTTATGTTTTTAAAGAAAATATGGTGTCTTCATTTGAAATGGTTTGTGAAATGATTGGAAAAGATACTATACAGAGATTAATGTTTGATGTCTCCAATAGCATGGGAAGATATCAAGATTTTGTTTGTCAAACAAGTGCAATTTTTACTCAGCCAATGGCTGAAGATGTGGTGCCAACCGAAGAGGTTAAATCAAGCACCAAAGAACCAAAAGATGTAGAGACAAAGGGCATTGTCCTTGTCCAACAAGAAGCCGAGAATAAGCATCAAGAAGAAGATGTAATCTCGATAAAAAATAAAACACATTTGGATAGCGAATTCAATGAAAAAGAAGAGAGTGAGGAGCAAGAGGCCTTGCTTGATGACCTCGGGATGGAGGCAAATGACCCCAAAGAAAAGGCATTAACAAAGGAGACTATGCTACTGTTCTATTCTAATCTCACTCGGTTAGATTTATTCCCTTTTTATTTTGATTTTGGAACTAATGGTTGTGTTTCTTTGAGTATGTTTGGACAGAAGAAAACCAATATGCTCATGGGAGAATTTAGTGAACCAAGACATTTGGTCACGAACATGCAGAATATCACATGTTGGAAGACATCTCATGAACTAACAATGTTGTCCAAAACCAAGATGGCAACGTGTACCTTTGATCCTGGATCATTTAGGTATAAATTTTGGTATTCAAAACAGGTTATAACTATAAAGGTTCAGAACAAAGAAGTAATAAATGCCTATGTATCCCTATGTGTTTTTCATGATGTGTTTTCCGAATATAAAATAATATATACTATCCATGATGATAAAATGAGAGAAAACAAATTTTTATATTTTTTCACAATTATTTATGATAAAGGTGAGGAAAAATCCAAAGACAACGGATTTTTCTTTGCTCCGGTTATGTTTTTTGACCGTGTGCTCGAGTTGTGGCAGGAATACAAGGACGTATGCAAGCACATCGGTCAGGGGGAATGTTGTGTGGATTTCTCATTGAGTAAAGATTTTTATGAAGTCAAAATACTATATTCACTATACAAAGAGGTCTTTAACGATGGAAAAACACATACATGGTTGCAGAAAAGGTAAGGTAAGAATCACGTTTTAATTGCAATCGACTCTCATGTAATTTCTATTGGTTTTCAGATTGAGAAACCAAACGAGCCACCTCTGAGGATACTAGAAGGAGTTGTTATGATAAGAAAAGAACCGTTGGGCATTAACTTGTCAATCATGTTAAAGAACCGTGGCTGGCCAGAAATCAAGGATGCATATGGAAGAATATTTCGAAGATTTAAAGTTATCTACCAATGGCGCAATTGGAAAAGTACAAAGAAGAAAATGATTGTTCAAGCTCTTTTCAAGATTGGCTTTCGAATTCTCTACAAGCCACTCTTGAGGGGGAATGTTGAGAATATAACCAAACTTGACAAGCATACACTCAGACCAAACGGAATGCATGATGAACAAGGAAACACGTGCATAGGAACTCATAAGAAATTGACGGACATGCATGAAGAAATACACTCGGACATGACTTGACACACTTAGGAACGTGCATGGGAAGTCATGGGACCAAAATATTGACATGATGGAATATTGAAAGACTTAGTTTGAAGTAGAAGCTCTCTTAATTAGTGGAAACACAATCAGCCACTATCCCACTAGAATGCAATCACGTGTTGGCATCTTTACCTTTTCCAACAGACATGTTTTCACTCACTCAACATGTGCTGGGAATATCACATTGTCATTTCGTGTAGCAATTAGCCGTTAGGGTTGGTCTCTAGTTGTGTATAAATTAATCATCCTACGTACAATACAATGTATCTTCGTTCTTCATTTTCTTGTGTCTTGCTCATATTTTTCATCAACCTTTGATCAATCTTTTGTTTATCAATCTGAGTTTTGACAAGATTATGGTCAATTAGATTCTATAACCATGTGTTCCTTTTCCCTGGCAATGTTCAGTTTCGACACAAAGGAAATAGCACAGAAGCTAACCGATCATGAACTCGTTAAATTGAAGGAAACATTCTCCTAATGTGGCTAGCGATAACGATAATAAGAAAAAAAACCCAAAAAATTAACCAAACTTTTTCAATTTTTTCAGAAAAACCTGAACTCTATATTTTGTCAAATAAAATCCGAACTTTATGAATATTTTCTTTTTTAAACCCAACCGATGATGTGGCATCCTGATATCATCCTCTCCAACCCGTAAAACTCTCATCACATTTTTTACATGTCCAGTTTCCAGTTTTCAAGAAATGTCGGAAACCCAAATAGTAGAATGACGAAGAAAATATATATCGTATATTATATTTTTTATATGTAGCATTTACAAATACAAAAAAAAACACACAAATAATACAAAGAAGAAATAAAAAGAATATTCAAATAGTATTTTTTGTTCCTTGTTCTCTCATTGATCTACTTTATTAAATAGAACGAAAAAAGGCTAAATGCTTACATTAGCATGTGAAAAAAAAACGTCCTTTCCTATCTGCGGTTTCTTACTTCCATACTAAGAAACTGTAATTTTCAAAGAATGAAGAAGCATATACTCACTCTTGCAAACATTTTACCTGCAATGGCATCGAGTAGAAAGGTCCACTGTCATGAATATTGAATTGATCAATTTGGTTTTTCAGAGTGCTTGAGATCGAAGGTCTAATCTGATTCTTTTGTTTTTTTACAGATTCAGGTTCATTTCTCTATCTTTTGTTGACTAAGCTTAATATATATAAATTTATTAATTGAGTGTTCTTAAAAAAAGTAGATGAGAAATATGTAGTTTGCGTCCTTCAATGTGTATTCCAATTCTCCAATATAATGTTGGACAATGTGGTTGTATCTTTTCTGGTAAATGTATCTACATGTGGATCTCATTAAACAATTATATATACCTTGGTCATAGTTCTAAGGATTGGTTATCGATTTGATTGTTATGATTTTGATGGATTTTTTTGAATCGTTTAATGGTAGTGAATTCTGAATTTTTTAATATTTTAATATGTGAGT